GTTAGCCCCTAAAGCCCGTATCAGATAAAGCTTCAGTGTTATTTAAGCTGAACCTTTCACGTTCATTATGATAAAGATTTGTAACAAGAAGGCTCAGAAGAGCTTGATCATATCTATGACAACCGCCATGCTTTTCTCGTGGTGCCTCCCAAAAACCGCCTGGGCAATGAAGTCTTGATCCTGGAGGTGCTATACAATCTGTAACAAGGGCACAGACCGCTGCCCACTTCATGACATGCTCTTGGACATCTTCCGTGTTAAACAAAAGAATTGTACCCCCTGGTAACATAGTTTCTGTTAGGCCTTCTTTGGGGAACACTGGAAAATATTCAATCATCTTTGGATTGGTGGCCATTGCAATTGAATGTTCTCTTTCAATTTTAAGAAAGAACAGAGCTCCAGAGTTAAAGTGAACCATTCTTTCCAAAATATGGTCGAAATGACCGTAAATTCTGATTGAACTGTCAATCCACATTACTCCATCGAATTCTGATAACAGTTCTCCTATTAGCAGCAATTTCCAAGCATAGTTCTTTAAGTTTTTGATGTGAGGTGGATATTTCTCAAATTCAAACTTTCTATAGATAACATGAGTTTTGCTTTTCAATATATCCATTTGCGGCTCACTGAGTCCAATATCATAACAAACCAATTTAACTCCTGGTAAGTGCTTGGGAAAGTGATCTACAACTCTCATCAGCTCTCCAAAATGGTTGCTGGAAGCGGCAGAGACAGGAACAACGACGTCAAAATACGATGCTTTGGGATTTAGCTTCACAGGTTTACGTTTAAAAACGTTTTCCTTTAGAAAATCCTGTACGATTCGGAAGGTTTCATTGTCCATTTCAAATGTCTTCCCGGCGAAAGTAGGATCACTGACTGGCACGTAGTGGTCGATTGGTATCTCGCTTGACTTAACTTCAGCTGCTCTGCTTGAATTTCTACTGATACTGATATTCTGTGTTTTGTTGGAAGGGGTGAAAAAAGCTAAAAGAAAAGTTTGTCCGTGTCCCTCCAACAGATGGAACTCCAGCATGTAAAGAACCATTACTCCTGCAAAAACTGCGAAACCCACATTCAAGAATCGTTTCATGTTTTCGGTCCTGGCAGAAACGGTTTTCTGAGCACTCTTTATTCTTCAAAGAAATCAGTGACCTGAAAAATGTTTTAGCAAAAGCTAAGTAAGCACGGGGAGAGGACAACGATCAGGGCTGAGTTGCTCAAAGCATGGTTAGCTTTAACCATTGGTTAAGCAGTATCAAAACCAATACGTTGTCAAG